TGCCACCAGGCATTCAGCAAACCCCTTAGTGACTAAGAGAGGGGTGAGGTCTTTAGGGGTTCAGAGTTGAGGTTCAGAGTTGGAGTGGGGAGGTGCAGGGCAAGTCTAGGTTTGACAGGTAGTGTGAGAGCCCTGTGGAACACATACCCCACAAACATGAGCTCAATGTGTGCTGAGTGTACCATATCCAAAAAGGCAGGCCCTCAACCATGGAGTGCCCCTGGTCAGGGAGTGTCTAAGGGGTACCACAGACCTGAGTCCAAAAGGAAGAGATGCCAGAAACATATATAAGTAAAACTATAAAACTCTCAGAAGAAAACATAGGTGAAAATCTTCATGACCTTGGATTAGGCAATACTTTCTTAAGTATGAAATTAAAAGCACAGAAAAAAAAATAGGTAAGTTGGACTTCATCAAAATTTAAAACTTGGCCAGACACAGTGGCTCATGCCTGTGAACCCAACACTTTAGGAGGCTGTTCACAAACAAACAAAGCAACACAGAAAATAATAAATATTGGTGAGGATGTGGAGAAATTAAAATTATTGTGTATTGCTGGTAGGAATATAAAATGGTTCAATCACTGGGGAAAACAATTTGGTCATTCCTCAAAAAGTCAACATAGAATTACCATATGATCCAGTAATTCCACTCCTAGGTATATACCCAAAAGTACTGAAAACAGGGACTCTAACAGAGTACACCAATGTTCACGGCAGCACTATTCCACTAAAAGGTGGAAACAGGTCAAATGTCCATCAATGAATGGATGTGGATAAACAAACTGTGGTATGTACATACAATGGAATATCAATTGGCCATAAGAAGGAATGAATTCTAACATATGTGAACCTTAAAAACATTATGCTCAGTGAAATCAGCCATATACAAAAGGGCAAATATTGTAGGGTTCCAATTACATGAAATATCTAGACTACGTACATTCAGAGACTGAAAGTAGGATAGAGGTAACCAGGGGCTGCGGGGAGGGGGAGTTAATGTTTAATGATGGCTGAGTCTCTCAGATAATGAAAAAGTTCAGGAAATAGACAGTGGTGATGGTTACACAATATTGCAAACGTACTTAATGTCATGGGTTGCACACTTAAAGACAGTTAAAACAGTAAATTTTATATTATGTATATTTCACCACATACACACCCATGTTGCCAACTTTGCAATCCTCCCTGGTCCTAAATGCTGACTTGGCCAAGTGAATGGGGAGGCTGGAAGTGAGGACAGGAAACTCATGACCTCCCAGCCCCCAGCCTATCTGCCTCAGGGGCTGGGCTCAGCAGATTCCTATGACTACCAGGGGGCACACCTGGGAAGGGGCTGAGCCGAGGCCCAGGGCTGGTCAGGCTGACCAGGCGGGACTTAGCGCACTGCAGAAGGCAGAAGGTGCCCCGGCAGGGAGCACAGTACAGGTCGGGATTGGGACAGGAAGGACACCTCTCCCCAGGGGACCCAGCCCTCTCGTGGGCTGCTGGAGTGGACCGGTCTGGCCATTTGTGGAGGCCCAGGGGCTCATCTCCAGTTCTCTGGGAAGCCCTAGGCCTCCTCCCCTTCTGGGAAGATGCCCCCCCAGCCTCCACACCTGGTTCTTGGCCACTGGAGAATAGTGTAGCTGGGGCCCTGGGGCCTGGACACCTCCCCGTGAAGAAAAGCAGCCTGCTGGGCATACTGGGGGTCAGATGTGTCCCTGGCCACAGGGGATGTCAGGGTCAGCTCTACTATGGTCAGGGCAGCTATCTTGTCCAAGCTCCCCTGTTCCTCCCATTTGGGGTCCCGAAAAGTACAACGTGAACCTGATGGAAGAATGGTGGGGTTCTGGACACAGCCACCCTGGAACAGGGCGCAGGGGAGGACCCTTTCCAGGACTACTACAATCACATCATGTAGAGGCCACCTATGCTTAGCCCGGTTCCAACCCCAAAGGGGCCAGCCCCACCAGAGTCCAGCCTATTGGTTCAGCCTGTTCCACCACAAAGACCAGCTTCAGCCCAGATAACTGTTCTGGAAAGAGAAAGAGCAGGGACAGCCCAGAAAGGAGACCTCTGTCCCTGTTTGAAAGCCTGGAGTTGAGGGGACAGTGCGCACCCCGCGCCTCCCCCTGCCCCCCTCCCCCTGCCCCCTGCCCCCTGGCCCCTGCCCAACAAGTTGGGTTGTGGCTGTGGCCTAGTGAGTACCCAGCGTCCCCTGGTGGTTGAGGCGGGATTGCAGGTCCCGGGGAAGGGAGCGGCGTGCTAGGAACAGGGAGCAAGTGGCTCTGCAGCCCTGAACCATCTTGGGTGACTCTTTTGGAAATCATTGTCCCCCAGACAGAAGTTCCTGAGGTTCATCCTTGAGTCTCCAAGTCTTGGGTGCTCTGAAGACAGGATTCTAAATCCTCACTCCTAGTATTGGTATATGTTGAATCGGCGTGCCTTGGGCTGGCCTGGTACACAGTGGGCACTCACGTTTGCTGCCTGTTTGAGACCAAGCGCCTCAGGAGGTCTTGGAGGGTGGGCTGGGGCCCCAGGTTCCTGACCTCTGATTCCAGAGGCCAAGTTCAGCTGGGGAAGAAAGGGCAGAGGCAGTTTCCCTTTGGACAGCTTGGCCCTGGCGTAGGATTCAGTTTCTGTTTCCTGACACCAAGGTTTCTCCCCAACTTCCCCATTGGGCTAGAGAAAGAAGGACACAGGGTGACAAGGCCAGCTGGAGGTTGCTGGCCCACAGATAGGGAGTCAGGGTACAGATGGGTAATTCCTGGAGCAGATTACGGTCAAAATAGTGGAAATCCCCAATCACAGGCCAAATGTTAATTATCAGAGCCATAGAATCCATAATGAATGCCTATTGGCTTTGACATGGGCAGTAGAAATTTCACACTTCATTCCTTAATCTGGCTCTAAATACTTCTGGCTGGAGTGCCCACTCTCCGAACTGTGCTGGACAGCACCAGAAGCCCTCCTGTAGACCGACAAAGTGGTGATGGATGAAGTGGAATGGGGCTGGGGTTAGAGTAAGGAGAGATTATCATTGGGCTGGGCTGGGGCTGAGGTCAGGGTGATGGTCAGGTTGGAATTTTGGAAGCAAATTAAGGCTGGGATTGGGGTGGACATTGAGGTTGAGTGATGGGTGGGGGTAAGGGTGAAGGTTGGAGTTGGTTACAGGTGATGGTTAAGATACGGTGGAGGCTGGATTGAGATGAGGATGATAGAGTCGGAGTTGCGGTTAGGGTTGGGATGATGGATGGTTGGAATTGGATGGATGAGTAAATGGTTGTGGTTGGGTGCAAGTGAGGGGAGGGTGAGGTAAGGTTGGAATAGGGGCTGGGGCTGGGGCTAAGGCAGGGTCAGCGGAGGATGATGGTCTGGGATTGGGATGCAGGTTGGAAGGATTTGGGGTGGTGGAAGGGTTTCAGTTGAGTCTAGCTTTGATTAGTGCCTTGGGCTTGGGCTGGTTTGGGGTCCACCACTCACACCCAGATGGACTCCCCCCACCCCTGCCCCTACCCCACTCAGACAGTTTCAGCCCAGCCCCACTCCTAATGCTCCACTCACCCTCCGGGCCCAGGGACCAGGGACAGCGGTACCTGCTCCACAGGAGGAAGTGGCTGCGGGGGTGCTAGACCTGCGGAGAGGAGAACAGGAAGGCCAGGCAGAAGCTCCTGGTGCAGCTGGCTCCCCAGGGCTCTGCCGGCTCAAGACAGAAGGATCCCGTCTCGGGGGCTGCTTCCTCTTTCCCAAAGCCTTAGCTCTACTGTCTAGCCCGGAGGCTGGTCAGGGAGGCATCTGCAGGCCTTGCGCAATGCCAAAACGGGAAAGACCTCCATAGGGGAAGGCCCTCGGCAAGGCCAGGGACTTAGGGACTCCAGCAAGCAGAAGTGGGACTGCTGCGACGCTGGAGCCTCCCCAGGCAAAGTGAGAAATGGGGTGGGGGGCTCCCATTCACCAGCCAAGTCCACACCCCACTCTCTCTGAGCCCCCTAGGGAGGCTGGGGGAGGTGGAAGGGGGCTTCCTGCAAATAGCTCCTCCCTGACACCTGAGAGGGAGGCACGCGCAGCCTGGGGTGGGGACACACTACACGATGCCCTGACCAAGGCAGTTATTCTCCAAGCCATTCAGGAGCCTCGCTGTACCACTGGGTACTCTTAAGAGCCCCCAAGAGGCAGTCTCTTGTTGTGGGGGACATAGGGCCCCAATGTCCAGGACACTCCTCAGGTTTTCTCTTCCCCCACTTACTATCCTGTACATTTTTTGGTTTTTGGTTTCTTGTTGTTGGCTTTCTTTGTTTTGTTTTGGTTTTGCTTTTGAGATGGAGTCTCGCTCTGTCGCCCAGGCTGGAGTGCAGTGGCACGATCTCGGCTCACAGCAACATCCACCTCCCAAGTTCAAGCGATCCTCCTGCCTCAGCCTCCCGAGTAACTGGGATTACAGGCATGCACCACCACATCCAGCTAATTTTTGTACTTTTGTATGTTGTCCAGGTTGGTCTTGAACTCCTGACCTCAAGTAATCTGCCTGCCTCAGCCTCCCAAAGTGCTGGGATTACAGAGGTGAGCCACTGCACCCGGCCACTATCCTATATCTTCACCCCTACCTTGGGACAGGAAAGGAAAGCCCCCGCCACAGCTAGTTACTGTTACATTACTGCAGCCCATCTTATTGAGGGGCTACTTTGTGCAGGCACTTGACATGTGAAGCAGATGTTAATTGTTCCAAGCAATCCCAGATATAAGCAACAAGACTTTTTTTTTTTTTTTTTTTTTTTTTTTGAGACCGTGTCTTGCTCTGTTACCCAGGCTGGGCTGTCCTGGTGCAATGTTGGCTCACTTTGGCTCACTGCAGCTTCAAAATTCTAGGCTTGAGCAATCCTCCTACCCCAGCCTCCTGAGAAGCTGGGACTACAGGCGCTTGCCACTATGCCCGGCTAATTTTTTAAATTATTTTGTAGAGACAGAGTCTCCCTATGTTCCCAGGCTGGTCTCAAACACCTGAGCTCAGGTGATCCTCCCACCTCGACCTCCCAAAGTGCTGGAACTACAGGCGTAAACCACCACTCCTGGCCATTTTTTAAAAAGATTTCACAACTCAAACTTAATTCAACTCAGTCCCTGCCTACCTGTACTGGCGAGGAGCTGGCCACAGCAAATTAGGCCCCGTATCCTGAGGGCAAGGCCAAATGTGCGGGTATAAAAGGATGTGAAACCCTGAATTAGGGTGGATCCAGAATCTCAGGCCATGGTGCCCCAAGCAGATGTCTGGTGACATTCTACCCTGAAATGCTCAGGCTCCAGAGATATTAGGTCTCTTTCACTCTGTTCCTCTTTATAGCCCCTGTGTCCACTGCCATGCTTGGGCCATTTCCTCTTTTGACCAAAACACAAAGGATTCATCCCATTACTTCCTCCTTCAACAGCTGGTACAGAGACCCCTAGCTCTAGGCCTGTGGGGTTGTGACACATGTGTACTGATCCTTCAGTCCACTGGGACTGTATACATGGCTTGGCTGCATGGTGGGAAAGCATCCCTTTACTTTGACTTTAGCCATATGACTTGCTCTGGCCAATGGATGTGCATGGACATGACTCAAGCTAAGTCTTGAAACATACTTAAGCGGTTGGCCTCCCCTGAATTTCTGTCATTGCCAGGCAAGAGGCAGGCTCCAACTGACCTGCCGGTCCAAAGAGGATGATGAACACATGCAGATGACCTGAATCAGACCCATGGTTTGAAACAAAACTCAGCTGAGCCCAGCCTACGTCCCCCAGACCCCAGCCAACCTGTGGATGCATCAGTTTATTGCTGGATGCTGCTGAGAATTCTGTGGCTACATTAGCAAAATGATACAAGGCCTAAGTCCCAGAACAACACACCCAGAACGTGCTTACCTTTCCTTAGGGTGAGGAGAACAAAGACCTATCTACCTTGATTAGTCAGGGAGCATTGCTTCCTGTCATTTCCTTGAGTATACAGCAGCCTAAGTAAACAAATAAAAATAACTAGGTAAGCTGGGCACGGTGGCTCATGCCTATGATCTCAGCACTTTGGGAGGCCGAGGTGGGCAGATCGCTGGAGGCCAGGAGTTCAAGACCAGCCTGGCCAACATGGCGAAACCCCGTCTCTACTAAAAATACAAAAATTAGCCAGGCCTAGTTACAGGCGGGCACCTGTAATCTCAGCTACTCAATATGCTGAGGCACGAGAATTGATTGAACCTGGGAGGTGGATATTGCAGTGAGCCAAGATCACACTACTGCATTCCAGCCTGGATGACAGAATGAGAGTCTGCCTCAAAAAATTTTTTAAAAATGCAATTTCTCAATAGGTCACACTGTTATACATTCATCTCATAATAATTACTCTTTTTTTTTTTCTTTGGAGACAGAGTCTCACTGTCACCCAGGCTGGAGTACAATGGCACAATCTCGGCTCACTGCAACTTTGACCTCCTAGGCTCAAGCGATCCTCCTGCCTCAGCCTCCCAAGTAGCTGGGACTACAGGTGAGTACCACCAGACACAGCTAATTTTTGTATTTTTTTGTAGAGATGGGGCTTCACCATGTTGCCCAGGCTGTTCTCACCCTCCTGAGAGTTCCAGTCAAGTGATTCACCCGGCTTGGTCTCCCAAAGTGCTGGGATTACAGGTATGAGCCACCATACCTGGCCAATTATTCTTATTCCAGATAGGAGAACCAAGGAATAGGGAGGTCAGAGAATTTGCCGGAGGCAAAACTTTTTGGTTCAAAAAAATAAGTTTTGCTACGAGTACAGAAAACACCAAATAATGGTGTTTTAAATAAAACAGAAGTGTTTCACCCTCTCCATCAAGTAAGTGTTGGCATCCGAGATGATATGGCAACTCCACAATCATGAAACTAGATCCCTTTTTATTTTTTGGCTCGGTCATCGTCAATGGGCTTCTTCCAGTCACGGTCCAAAGAGGCTGCTTGTGCTCCAGCCACTTTATCTGCATTCAGGAAAGCAGGATGGAGGAAGGGACAAAGTAGGCCATGCCACCTACTTTAAGATAACTCCTTAAATGGCTGATGTGGTGGGTCACTCCTGCAATCCCAGCCACTCAGAAGGCTGAAGCAGGAGGATCACTTGAACCCGGGAGCTCGAGGCTGCAGTGAACTATAATTGTGTTGTCACTGCATTCCAGCCTGAGTGACAGAGTGAGATCTTGTCTCTTAACAACAATAAAAAAGGTAATTCTTTAAATTGCACACTTCATTGCTGCTTATATTCCACGAGCTAGAAGTTAGTCACATGGTCTCATGTCTTTATTCTAACAGGTGATGTGCCCAGGTAAATCCTGGGGGCCCAGTGCTAAGAAGTAGGGGAAGATGAAGCCCTGCCCTCCTGTGCAGCAACCAGGACCTTCATTCATTCATTCATTCCTTGGACCTACCCAGATTCCAGCCTCAGGCCGCTGCCCACCTCCTTGCCAGTATCTCTGCAGAGCCTCCTGCCTCCCCCAGAGGGTGCCAGAGCCCTCTGCTTCCTCAGCCTTCGGACCCACTTGTTGCGTCTCAGGTGGGGACGGCTCAGTCTATAGAGGCCCAAGGGAGCTCTTTGAGACCCATGCTGTAGTCAGCTTGGGGCAGATGGGAGTCATGTAGCTCAGTGGCTAAAAGCCTAAGCCCTGCATAAAGCTGGGTTCAAATCCAGACATATCCTTTACCTGCTGTGTGATCCCGGGAGTCGCTCAATGACTCAAAAGCTGGAGTCCTCTGGAAAGCTTGTATGAAGAGTTCCCAGGGCCTGGAACATCAAAAGAGCTCTGAGAATGTTGGCTCTCCTCTCTCCTCCACCCAAGGTGACCTCTGCTCTCATAGCCACACCCTGGACCCTCGCTCATTCAGTCACCTCACCCAGCCTGTCATCTGTTCCTCCGACTCTCCTCTCCTGTTCATGCATCTTGTACTCACCCACTTCTGTCCCTGAGTGTTTCAAGGCTCTGGGGTTTTCAGAGACACTGAAGAGACCTCCCTCCCCAACACAACCACAAGGTCTAGGTGGAATGACCCACTAAGGGACCGGCTCTGAAACCAGACTCCCAGGGAAAGTCAACAAGCCCAAGGATGCCTGTTACAAGAAAACTGAAAGACCCAAGTACATGTCCTCCCTTTTTATTCCCTGCACAGGATCTAGGCATCCAGTGTGAACACATGCAGGCCCCAAGGGACACCATCTGTGCAGAGTCAGATGGAGTTAAGAACATTTAGTCTGGGCACGGTAGCTCATACCTGTAATCCCAGCACTTTGGGAGGCTGAGATGGGCAGATAACCTGAGGTCAGAAGTTCGAGATCAGCCTGGCCAACATGGTGAAACCCCATCTCTACTAAAAATACAAAAATTAGCTAGGCGTGGTGGCAGGTGCCTGTAATCCCAGCTATTTAGGAGGCTGAGGCAGGAGAATCACTTGAACCCAGGAGGCGGAGGTCGCAGTGAGCCAAGATTGCGCCAGTGCACTCCAGCCTGGGTGACAGAGCAAGACTCCATCTAAACATACACACATACACACACATACATTTAAACTACCACATCAACATCTGGTTCAAGGTGGTGGACGAGAACTTGTCTCTGCCATCCCTGGCCCATCCAATACCACTGAGAGCACAGTAAGCAAAGGGAAAACGAAATAGAAGGGCTGGGAACAGGATGTCTGGGGGATGGGGAGTATCCACTGCACAGGGATTTTGATTTTGATTTACTTCTAGAAGATAGAAAGAGGAAGGATCACGTTCAGGAACAGATGAGGGTAAAGGAAACCAGAGCCAAAGCACGCTGAGAGAAAGCTGCCCCAGAGGCCAAAGCAGGAGTGGACTCTCTACGGGGACTCAACACACCCCAAAGGGTCGACAGCTGGCACATGTACCTCTCCACCCCCACATGTAACACTGCAGGGCAGAGGAAATGCCCCATGTGAGTTCCAGTATAATCAACCTGTAATCCCAGCTACTTGGGAGGCTGAGGCAGGAGACTCGCTTGAACCCTGGAGGTGGAGGTTGTGGAGAGCTGAGATAGTGCCGCTACACTCCAGCCTGGGTGACAGAGTGAGACTCTGTATCGAAAAATTAAAAAATAAATAAATAAATAAAAACCAACAGCAAAGAGCTATTGCATCCTTACTGTGGGCCTGGCAGTGTTATGACAACTTTTTTTTTTTTTTTTTTGAGCTGGAGTCTTTTTTCTGTCACCCAGGCTGGAGGGCAGTGGCTCAATCTCAGCTCACTACAATCTCCGCCTCCTGGGTTCAAGTAATTCTCCTGCTTCAAACTCCCAAGTACCTGGGATTACAGGCACATCCCACCATGCCCGGCTAATTTTTATATTTTTAGTAGAGATGGGATTACAACATGGTTTCACCATGTTGGCCAGGCTGGTATCGAACTCCTGACCTCAGGTGATCCACCCGCCTCAGCCTCCCAAAGTGCCGGGATTACAGGCATGAGCCACCACACCCATCCAGTGTTCTGACAATTTTATACTTATTAACTCACTTAGCAACCCTCTGAGCTAGGTGCTACTGTTTTCTCCACTTATAGGAAACTGAGTCACAGAATGGTAAAGTAAAATAACCTTGACCGAGGTTTATATGGCTGGTAAGGGGCAGAGAAATGAAACTTGAACCCAGGCAACCTGTTTCCTGAGTTGAGCTCTGAACTACTGAGCCACACTGCCTATTTACTTATTTATTGAGACGGGTTTGGCCGGGTGCAGTGGCTCACGCCTGTAATCCCACCACTTTGGGAGGCTAACACGGGCAGATCACTTGAGGCCAGGAGTTCGAGACCAGCCTGGACAACAAGGAGATAGGGTCTCGCTCTGTCACCCAGGCTGGAGTGCAATGGTGCAATCATGGTTCACTGAAGCTTCGATCTCCCAGGCTCTAGTGATCCTCCCACCTCATCCTCCCAAGTAGCTGGGACCATAGGCACCCACTATCATGCCCAGCAAATTAAAAAAAATTTTTTTTGTAGAGATGGGGGTCTCACTGTATTGCCTAGACTGGTCTCTAACTCCTGGGCTTAAGCAATCCACCCACCTCGGCCTCCCAAGGTACTAGAATTACAGGTGTGAGCCACCGTGCCTGGCCAATATTCCCTCTTTAATAAACTAAACAAAAAGTGAACAAACCAATCCCGGAGGGAACAGATAATTCAAGGAATACAAAGAACTTATGAAAAGAAAGATTCTAGTGCCAATATATTCATAAAACAAAAAAAAGCAGCTATGAAAAGAAAGCAAAAAATAATTCTTGGAAATTTAAAATAGAATTGCTGAAATAAAAAGAAATCCAATAGAAAAGGGTGTGAACATCTGTGGTTTTGGTTTCCAAAATTAGTTCACTCTTCTTTTGGTAAAAATACCCTGATTTTCCTCCTGTATTCTTAAGCCCTGTGGGTTGGTGGAATTGACACCTCTTCCATTTACTGCACAAGAGAAGCATGTTGCTGCTCACAGTTCATTATGAGGAGCCAGCGGGTAAAGACAACACTGAGAGCAGAGGAAAGATATATACCGACCCTGGGTCCTTCTGGACATCATTGAGTCCCTGGATCAAGCCTAACCTGAAGCTAAAGGGATGAGTGCTTCTCACCGTTAATAGCTGCTGATCGAATCCCATAGAAGGACTCCAATTATCCTTGCCTCAGTTATGTTTCCAGCCCTCGGATGAGCTGCCATCAAGGGAAACTGCCAGACCTTGGTGACAGGCCCACCCACTTAAAATAGGGAAAAAACCTAAGCCACATCATTGAACTGAAAGAGCTGCAGTTCCCCAAAAGAGAGGAGAGAAGGAATGCTGGATAAACACAACAACTACTTCATCTCAGTGCACCTGCAAAGAATACAGGCACAGGAAGGTGGGCACAGCAAGTAGTCTTTCTGGTTGACATAATGGAGACAACATCTGTTTCTTCTCTCAGAAAGAAATAAGAAAGGCAATTGGAGAACCAGAAACAACAAAATCTATTCCAGGACCAAATAGAAAGAAAACACATCTGAGGCATGATGTTGAGCAATTAGTGGAGTGTAAGAAAAGAGAATCCATTTGACCTTGACATCTGAAACAGCAAATATTCTCCATCAATCCACTTTAGGGTAGAGGAAATGATACTATATTTCCTTCTCAAAGGAGCTATCTCGTTACTTGGTTCTGCAGTAAATAATGTTTATACAATCATAACATTAGTTGGTTTTCAATTTTCAGAATCAACCTGAAGATAAAGCATGGAAGATTTCATTATAATTACAGAACAGCATGTAAATGTTACAAACTTTGACCATGAAACATAAAAAAAGAGGCCGGCGCAGTGGCTCACGCCTGTAATCCCAGCACTTTCGGAGGCCGAGGCGGGTGGATCACAAGGTCAGGAGTTCGAGATCAACCTGGCCAACATAGTGAAACCCCATCTCTACTAAAAATACAAAAATTAGCCAGGCATGGTGGCATGCACCTGTAGTCCCAGCTACTCAGGAGACTGAGGCAGGAGAATCACTTGAACCCAGGAGGCGGAGTTTGCAGTGAGCCAAGATTGTACCACTGCACTCCAGCCTGGGCAACAGAGCAAGACTCCGTCTCAAAAAACAAAAACAAAAAAGAAAACAGCATAAATTAGAGGGAGATGGCAGGTGGCATGGGGCTGGGGGAGGCACAATTTTTCTTACATAGTGATAGGGCTCAAGAAATTCTGTCTAAAATTGATGTATGAGGAACGAAATTTTAAATATAGATTGTTTAGAACTTCAAGGAGCACCAACATAGGACTCCAATAATAACACAGCAAACAAAACTGAGAAAACAGACATGGGGGGGGGCGCATGAGAACGTGTGATTTCAGTACCCTGCTTTAATGATGAGGTGTCACTAGATGCTCTCTTGAGTTACTAAATTGAGAAACAAAGATAAAGTATATTGTTTAGAGGTGTGATGTTCAAACTCCAGAAAAGGCTGGGTGTGGTGGCTCAGGCCTGTAATCCCAGCACTTTGGGAGGCTGAGGTGGGCGGATCACTTAAGCCCAGGAGTTTGAGACCAGCCTGGGCAACATGATGAAGCCCCAAAAAATTAGCCAAGTATAGTGGTGCACACCAGTAGTCCCAGCTACTCAGGATCTCACCACTGCACTCTAGCCTGAGGAATGAGAGTGAGACCCTCTCTCAAAAAAAAAAAAAAAAAAAAAAAGAAGAAGAAAATTCCGGAATATATAAAAATGAAAAGAGTGCAGAAGAGTGGAACTGCGGGGTAGGAAATTTTGCATTTTGTTTTATCTCTCTGTATATTTTGACCTTTTTTTTAACCTACGTGTACTACGTCATATCCGTAGCCCCCACCCATCCACCAGGCTCCACCTGCTGTGTTTACATGGAGGGTTGAGCAATTATTCCTGCCTCCTTCCAGTTCATCTTCCTGTACTGCAGAGGCTAGAAAACTAAATTTATATCGCCCAGATTCCCTTCCAGCTACCTTAATGCCACCACCTCATTCAGCCATTACTGATTCTCCACTTCTCCAAACTGGTCAATAATTGTCTCTTCTAAAAATGTTAGAATTGGGACTAAAAGACACTACAGCTGACCCTTAAACAACATGCGTTTGAACTGTGCTAGTCCATGTATACACAGATTTTTTAAAAAATAAACTTAATGAAAAAATTTTGGAGAGTTGTGACAATTTGAAAAAACTCGCAAAACCATAGCTAGAAATATAAAAAAAAAAATTGAAACAAAGTTAGGTATGTCATGATTGCATAAATA